TACACATTCCTACTTTAAAAAAAAATTAACATAATTACCTATGTTCCAACTCCAACCTCTTTACTATTTCACTTGTGTCTAATGAGTAATGGCCTAGCCCCTTCGTGCTAGTCCTAGATGGTGACCTAACACATTTTGACTATAAAATATCAACACATCAAACCTTTTTGCAGTATTGTTGGTTCTTTTTACATTTGATTTAACAAAAAGAATTAAATGTAGTATGTTTTATAGGGTTGAGTACATTATATTAACACGTTTTTGCATAAGCAAATTAGAAGTTACGTCACAATAGTAGCCAATATAAAGTCACTGTGGAAAGACCTGTATCACGGTTACTTTTTGACATTTGGGCATTTTGTAGGTAATGTGATAACCCCGAAAATTTATCGCTTTTAGGCAGTGTTTGTATCACCCTTTTAGACGGAAAACATTTATAAACTCGCATCAGAAAGATGCTTTTAGGACGGAGAAACAGAGATTTCTTTTGTACTTAATAGCATTGGAAAATAAATGAATGTGAATCAATTTGAGGCAACAGAACCATCAAGAAAGAAAACTGAAACAAGTTCCCCAGTCATGATCAAGTGGTTTGTGGATTTTTGTTCAATCAGACTGTTGAAACTGGTGCTGGGAGACCGGGGCCCGGCATAGCCAGGTGGTTAGGGAGCTCGACTCGCAATCTGAGGGTCGCGGGTTCGAACCCCGTCCCACCAAACATGCTTGTCCTTTCAGCCGTAGGGACGTTATAATGTGACGGTCAATCCCACTATTCGTGGTTAAAGAGTAGCCAAAGAGTTGGCGGTGGGTGGTGATGACTAGCTGCCTTCTCTCTATTCTTACACTGCTAAATTAGGGACGGCTAGCGCAGACAGACCTCGTGTAGCTTTGCGCGAAATTCAAAAAACAAAACAAACTGGGAGACCGTTGTCCTCGTAAACTAGATGGATTAATGAATGCTTGCAGTGATGAAAGGAACCTTTTGCAATGGAAATTGCGCTGCAGAGGTATTGTCAAAATGCACAGTCGTCAGATAGAGCAATGATCGGACGTGGTAACATGAATTATAACGTCGTGGTAAGGCTCCAAAATCGTTTTAGTGTAACATACTCAACCCACTTTATTTTGTTTAAAAAAAAGAGCAAGTCCCATGTGCTTGAAGGAAAAGTAAACTTGAAATGGTTATATATAATAGTTTATTAATATCTTTGCGCTTAATTGCCAGTGTTGAATGATTGAAAAATAATAAAGAGTTTCCAAAAAACAGTGTATTTAAATGTGTTTATTTCAAGATGTTAATATATTATCAGGAACATACATTTTGGCTTAGGCCTATTATTAATAAGAATTTCTGAGTCAAAGTAATAAAAAAGTGTAAATATTAACCGCACCATATATACTATAATCAGTATCTATGTTTAGAACACTTAATAAAAAATCTTAAAATGCTTTTCTTTTTTTAAATCTGATGTTTAGAAAATATTTTAATTTTGTTAAGATAAGTTTCTATTTACAATAATAGAGCATATATTTCGTTCACTATGTTAACATTCAAGCAAATTTAACAAACAGTCAAACAAAGCAAAACTTTTCAAGTAGCTAAACACTAAGTGTAACAATGTCTAAAAGTTTCTAGATATAAAACTCTTAACAGGTTAAACTCAAACTTGTTACATAATTTATAATAAAACCCCACAAACAGCATAAAAGTATTGATAGTTAGAGTTGTTATTCAAACTAATGCAAAATATTATATTTTGTACAGAAATGAAACCAGACAAGTACAAGTTCAATATTCAAGTAACTATTTACTTGAGCTTTTAAGAAAATACAAGTACTAAAAAGCTTCCGTGATAATTCTATAAGTTGGATTCATTAATAACTATAATGTTTTAACAGTATTATGAATACAAAAAATAAAAAAATGGACCCAGAAGACTCAAGCTCCTCGAGGGGATCAGGATTAAAACGTCGAGTTCAAGATTTTGTAGTTGGATTGCTGTTGTTTTTAGCGCCAAGTTACAGAATGGGTTACATGTGGTCTTGTCCATCACGAGAGAATCGAATCCCGAATTTTAAGTACGTAACTAACCACTGACCCACCGGGGAAGTTTGATTGCCATGTTTTCTGCATTATTATTCTACGCGATGAACAAACAGTTAGTCGTCCCCTTTTGAAATTTATTTTAGCATTTTCTATTTTCATTTAATGTTTTAGTTGATGTTAAAATAATTTTGTGTCTTCCTGTATACTCGTTGAGTCAGGGACTGGTTAATTACATGGACATGGAAAAAACAATACCCGCAAAAAGCTCTTCAGGATTTCAAAAATTTAAAAGTGTGTTTGATAAAAAAATTATAAGGGTCAAAAATGATAATTATATATATTATTATTATAAAAAGTAAAATTAACATATGGTCCCGTTTATTAATACAATGTCATTACTGTAACCAAGTCCGAATATGCCAGATATGCAGTGTTTACGCTTTCATTATTTCCCATGAAAACGAGTTGTGTTAATTCTTGTAATTTCTGTTTGCAAAGCAAATAAATGTCGAACAGAGTAAAATATGAACCTTTATGCAATCAATAAAACTATGTGCCAAATCTGCTTCATCACATTCAGTGTCAACACTACTATCATTCGATGTCAAATATAAATGTAATATGAGAGTCGCATATAGGATTTAGATGACTGCCAGTACATCTTTAAAATCCTATGAGTGAATAATGATGCTTCTTTTTTATAACTCGCATTATGAAAGTGTTTTTTTTTGTCCTTTCATAGCCGGGAGGCTTTTTTTTTTTTAATATGGGTAACAATGAAAAATAATACAATTCAGGCGATTTATTTGACACTCCCACGTGCATATCAGGGTATATTATTAGAGCCCTGTGTATGATTTAACATTTGATTTGGAGTCGAGTCCGTGATAGCCAATATAGTGTGTACTTTAACTAACTAACTAACTCTGACCGTCCTATAACATAAGTTTTTTTCCCTGAGAGTTCTAATATGTGAAATACTTCGCTCAAAAGTTCATGGCGTTTTGGTATCGAAAAGTTTGTTTCGAACATTCGTTCAAAGGCACACAAGGGCAGTCAGAGACAGCCGTTCCAAATTGTTTAAAATTAGAGATTAGCGCAAAAGCAGTTAGTTAGCAGCACCCACAGCAACTCTGAGGCTATTCTAATCGAATAGTTGGTCTTGTGCGTCTCTCTTCTAACGTCCCCACGACTCCATAGTGCGGAGCGCGATTTTGCGGTAATAGACGCAAACCATAAACCCTTAGATCCATATTCTGGCACGTTACCCGCTAGGCTATATCAGGCCCAGAAACGAAAGGTTATTGGCTTACTCGGTGCCATTGTCAGCGTTTAAACATACGAAATTAATGGCACTCTAGCTGAAACAAATTTCGTTGTCATTTCACTTGTTTTTAGACGCGGCATAGCGGCTCATAGAATGGCTCCGAGTTTTTGTTTTTCTTCAAGTACAAAGTTTTAGCTCATAGCTCCGTCATCTCACAACCGATTTGAGATCTAATTACAGTTGTGAAATTTAGGAGGTCAAACCCTTTCGATTGATATATTTGACCACGCCTAAGGTCTCATAGATTAATTTACTGTAATCTTGCCTAAAAGAATTTCAAGTGCCACGGGTATTGAGGATTCCCTCTCGTTTTTAGAACGTTTCTATATTTTATATTTCTATTCTAATGATAACGTTTCACGAATATTGAAATGCTATATACTAGCTAGTTATATTCGCTAAAAGGGTTGTTTATTATGCCAACGTACTATGTATACTCAAAAATTAAAAAAAAGAAACAAAATCGTTATTAAAATAGTTTATAATTGATTTAAAAAACAAAATATATCCAAAAGTACAAACCTTTCACGTGGCCGAGTAAGGTCGAAAGTCATGAAAAAAAAGTAATAAAATTGTATAAACTTCTGCACAACAACTATATTTTCTAGAAAGTATGTAAACTTAAACATTATGGCCAATATTGCGAGTTGACTTAATGGGAAGATGGTTTGTTTTTTAATACATATTATATATCTATTTACATTATACAAGGTAATGAAAACAAACATACTCAAAATGCATTCACTTTCATTATTAAATAATGAGCGCATGTTGGCCTTGTGGTGGAATTACTGAGCTGGGTTCGAATCCACGCGAAACCACAAAATATTCTTCGCACTGTGAGCGCGTTATAAGAGTGATGGCCATTCCCTAAGGGTGGGAGATAGGGTACTGTTGACTGTCTGTCTTTTCTCTGGTCAAAATTACGAAAAGAGGCGGATAGCTTTAGTATCTTTGCCAGAAATATACAATGATCATTATTAACCTTAATTATACTGCTAATTCCACATACCTTTTAAGCGATTAAATCTTGTTAATAATTAAGTTTCATATTAGTAATGAGATTCCGCGTTTTGTATTAACTTCTGAATAAATCAACATATTTTTTTCTTTTCTTGGAAGGATTTCGCACAAAGCTACCTGATGATTATTTGTGCTAGCCGTCCTTTATTTTTAACAGTTAGACCACGTGGAATGTAGCTAGTTAACATCACCCATGTTAGGCTTCTCTTGTTAGACCAGATAGTGCTGTTTGACTGTCAATCACCACGTTTCCAAAATGTAAAGTGCAATATTGTTTTGGTTTTTTTTGCGGTAACGGGATGCGAACCTCAAAACGTCAGTTCCGCACTCTAACTACTGGGCCACGCTCGAACAAAATATACCTTTTTAAATAAATTGATCATTTTTTTGAAAAATATTCGTTGGGATCTTTATGACTAACAAATTACTGAAGTAGTTAAAGGTTAAAACTATAAATAAAATATTGAACGAAATTAAAAGATAATGTTTGGTTTGAAGACATTATTAAAACAAAGGTAAAAAAATTCGGTATAAATGTTTGAAAATATAATAAAATAATTCTAATTCTATCAAAAACAAATGTAAGCATTGAATCAAAGTGATTCAGATAACAAACCTGTCCCTATTACTTAAAATATAAAAACAAATGGAACTTGTAGATGCGTTTAACAAAAAGAGGACAATTAACCTCAAACGATAAGTAGTTTAAGTACCAATCACTACTATATACTATATAAACATCGTTTTTCAAAATATTCACTGATATTATCATATATTTTTGTTTGAGTTCCTGTCTGTTTTCAATTTTAAAATGTTCAAGTGTACTCAGAGTAAGCACATGCGAATACAAATTTAATTACCAATAATTAAATGTAGCTGAAACCAAAATGTCCACAATTATCGATTCAATACTTGGGTAAATCAGGAGTATAATCAGTTTTAGTGTTTTTACTACTGATATAACATATCCTTGAAATATAAAACGACGACCATGAGCAGTAACGTTACAGTTTATAAAACCTTTTACCATTAATGGGCAAAGTGTTAAAAGAAATTGTCAAGAGCATTTTATCAACATCTAACAGAAAAGATACGCTCAACTTGTCCAATTGAAGCCTCAGATTTTAATTATTCACAAAGGAGAAACGCGAACCAATAATAAAATTTTAAAATGGTGCTATTTTAGAGATTAAATTGTAGTACCATAAATATTAGCTGTTGATGATGGTTTGTTTGTTTGATAAGCACAAAGCTACACAATTAGCTGTCTGTGCTGTGCACAACATGAGTTTCGAACCCCAGTTTTTAGCTTTCAGACTTACTACTGAGCGTTAATAATGACAATATCTCAGTACTGAGCAAGCAATCAATTCTCACTTGAACATTTTTTTTTAAACATTTCACATTAATTGTAGCAAAATGGCTAAAATATTCCAGTTTGCGCTAAGTACTCCATAAAACATAGAAACGAATGATATTATCTAGCTTTGAACACATTAGCATCGAAATCCTTACCACTTCTCACCCGAAATTAAAAACGTGAAAATCATTTGAAACTTCTTAGACACAAATATCTAATTAAGATGAACATAACTATAAGCTCCCTCTCTTCATACACTACTCAACAACGCTACAGACGAGAATATTGCACTCAAGATCGTTTCTTAGGTATACTTCTGTAGTCAGTTCTACATGGCGATCGTAGACTGAGAACAAAGTATGCCATTCAGAAAATTCACAGCACAAAACTTCGAAATGTACTTTGAATAAATCGTAGTCGTGACATATAGTAGTTAAGTTGCGATATTAGAAGAGGTGGAACACCCTTTTGTGATTCACTTTGACGTTCCAGTGAGAAGACCAGGTACGCTAATGACTTGAATCCTCAATGGTAGAATACCGTTCCGGATCGTTCCGCCCCAATTTAACCCCTGATGTCAAACAACTAATTTTCTAGAAGTATACAAATAAACAGAGTTTGTATCAAGGCTAACCAGGCACTTAGTGATCTGCATTGCCAGTTTTATGTACACATTGCCATAACTACTATATTGTTGGTCCGAGGAGATTAAGAATGAAGTACATTATTATCCGAATCTCCAGAGGAGGCTAATGAGAAGTTGGCTGAATCTCTTTTGTTTTGTTGATTCAGAAGTAACCTTTCATTATGCACAGGCTGTCCAACAAAATACGTTTTATTGTAAAGTTCACTATCGCCCAAGGTCGGATACTGAAGCCAAGAAGGGGTAGAGTCGTTGTGGAAAGAAGTAGCGAGCACTGGACTTTCCATGCAATCAGACTGTTCGTTTAATGATGCTATTTGCATATTCGTAACTCCAACAAATCTTTCATTGTGTATGCCATCTTGAATATCGCTAGACAGATTATTTTGTTGCCCAATTATCATAGTTGGTTCGCAAAAGTCGTCATATAACTGATTTTCCGGTAATGACGAGGCAATGAGCGTGGAATTATCAATCAAGTCATTTCCGGTAGATGGATTCAGGTGGCGTTGTAATGAAAAGGTTTTCCACTTGAACCTTGGTGGCTTCATAGCTGGTACGTTTTCTAGACTACATGACCTCTTTTCAATCGTAACGTAATTACAATGAACTCCACTGGAAGAGTCACTACCTGTCTTATCAGGAGAGGTGGAGGATTCACTGATGGATCCAGTCAGATTATCTTCGGAATTACTTTCGTCTCCCTGACTTTTAGTAATTCCTGAATCAGTGCTAAGGGTGCTGCGTGGAGTAGAGTCACCTGGTGTAGCTGGGAGGCCACTGTGAACAACAACAGGAGTTAAGATCCTGTTAGGAATTCGACGGTTGTCAAAAAGCAAACTGTAGTCTCCTTCATCCAACAGAGGGCGTACACTTCCATTGTACTGGTCCGTGAATCGGAGAGGAGACCAGCTCTGAAACTAGAAGTTTTATTTTTTCAATTTTCATAATGTGCATATATGTAAGACTTGTAAACGAAACTACTTGCCTTAGGATTAATTATTATGATTATCATTTAGTCTGTTATGTAATAATATTAATAATAACAAAATCTGCTCGTCTCTAACACGTATTTCTATTCAATTACCGACAAAGTAGACCAAATTTCGTGAGAAAATAAAGTGAAAACTGAGAAAGGGCATTCGAAATGCACATGATATGCCATTTCATAGTTGTAACTTTTAATAATTTGGTTCTTGTTCTGTGAAAAAGTGTCAATACTTCTACACATATTCGCAAGTAAAAAATAAATAAAAGTTACTAGTATTTATCCCACTTTAAAGTTTAAAATGAGTTATTATATCGGACACAAATTTTCGTACCATATACTTCTTGAAATTTATTCACTATTCTGCTTAAAAACTTAAAATGTATCTCTTCTTACCTTTAGTGTTGGTCTTTGAAATTCATCGCCTCTATCACTGACTAATTCTCGCAGAGTTGTATAATCTCCGCTACTCGAGTTGATAATACAATCATTTTGAAATTTAACGTGTGGTTTTCTGGTTCTTCCGACACTGTTTGATGATTTACTGTTAAAGGATCTCACTCGCTTAACAGGAGTTCCGGCAAGCCCATCTTCAAATGTGACTTTCTGCTGCTTGGAAAAAGACGATTTGTGTTGAATTTTGCACTGTGACTTTCTGTCACATTCTACTGACCTATCCACATATTTTGAGAAAGAAAAGTTGGATTTCAACCAGTAGATGTCTTCATAATCGTTTAGTGAAGATTCATGCATCATGCATGTCTGCACTATGTCTATGATGGCATCTTTTGGTGTTTTTTCTGTTATGTGGTAAGTCTGACCATTTTCAATAACTAGTAGTGGTAACTCCATTTTATCATTCAACAGTTCTAGTTCAGAACCATTACCTGTTTTTGATCTACCACAGTTAAAGGGGTGAATTATATCTTTGGAACGTTTGAACCTCCAAGACTGTTTGACAGTGAGGCCTAGCCATAGTAACACCCAAAGTAAAAGATGCATTACGGTGCCAATTACCCCAACAAAAACGGCTCCATCCAAACTACCACAGTAAACTAACGTAAAATCGTACATTAAAGGTGCGGAGATCGAGATCGCCAGAAAAAGCGTTAAGAGGGCACTCAGGTGGGGAATGTAACCCCAGAGACGTCGAGATTCCTCTGTCCAGGAGATGTGACGTTTCTGGACTTGTTGTTCTTCAAATTCACGGAACTTTTGAAGCCCATAAATGTATAGAATGCTGGAGGACATCAATAAAACAATATTATAAGCCAAAAATAGCAATAAACTTAGCAAAATGTTGAGAAGTAGCGGACTGAACCTCAAAAGGACCTGTGAAGGTCCATATATGTGAACTTTGTAGAGAACCGTGAACCCAGTAAAAGCAAGAAGTTGTTGCAAGGCAGTGAGAACAGTCTCAATCGAAAATATAAAGGAAAAACCCTTGTTGACCCGCCAGAAGACTGATGGGTAGCGCACTGCATACACAAATAAGGCCAATCCATAATTTAGAAACTCTGATGAGATAGGAGCCATGTCTTCTAGGTGTTTTTCAGTTACTGTTTTTGGTCTTTCTTGTACACCTCCTGCTTCCTTTTGAGAAATCTCAGTTTCATTTATCGTCGAAAGAAACTTAAGCGCCACCAAACGATCTTTGTGGGTAATCATAAAATCCAGATCCGTATTCCAGAGATCAGCTGTAAAGAGGGCAAAAACATTTTAACACTATTGGTTATTTTTAGTACTTACAACTTTGCTTAGAAACTAAATGTAGAAAACTTACACTGTGGTTTATTATACCAGTAGTTTGTTTATGAAAATAAATATATACTTATACAATTACACGATTTTTTACCTAATTTTGAAACGATTTTGATGAAAAATGTATTGCACTTTACAAAAAAAAAAAAAAGAGAGAAATGCTCAACCTAAAATGTAACCTGGAAACGCAAGACAACAATATTTTGTACATTCTTTACCAAGAACAACACCCATGAAAAAAATGCGCTTGACATATGAGGTTATTTTAATAGACAGGAATGTTTTCTCTGCGGTTAACGACCAGGACAAAAAAAAAAAGAGACTAAAATATGTGACTCCCAAAATCGGTATAAGAATGAAGTTACAAGAGGGGAGGTTCTACTTCATGTCGGTTAAAAAAAAAAACAAGTGGACGTAGAACGTTAGTAGACAATCCTGTAACACTAGTGGATAAAAACACTGCATACGATCAACTCACTGTCAGCTCCAAAAATAACTGCAAAGCTTTAACAGACCGGTATGTTACAGTTTATTTTTATTTATGTTTCAGAAGGTAGTGAGGCAATCGAGCCAATCTGAAGCTAGGATGAAGTCAATTCTGTTTCTGTGTTTTCACCGACCAGTCCCTACCTATTCGACTTGATACATATGCAATTAATTTATTATGACTGGGCAATATTCTTGATTGCAAACTAATGGCAACATTTTAGATCTATATTAGTATTTGTTCAAAAAATAATCACTTACATAAATTTTGGTGATTATAAAACAAAATCTACAACTTTAACTAATATTATATGAAGTTCAAAAATTTAGTTCAGTATTTTATGTCTATAAAGTCCACACTCTTTTTCGCTCTGAAAGTCCAGAAACGCCGTCAGCTAAGAGTGAGTGATCATGAAATTTTTTAGGCTAACAGTATACAAGTACGAGATCCAAGTGTTATACGAAAACATTTTCAGGATTTCATAGTCGGCCAATTCAAATTTTTAAACGTGTACTATACGGTAGCACAACTCAATATAAACTAAAGCTGGTGTTTTTCTTCCAATGTGATTAATATCGTGTGCTGCAATTGGTTTCAAAACACCCCACCAAGCAATATTTTAATCAGAGAATAGTCTACCCATGATCAAAATGTTGCACTGTAGAAATACTCTGAAAATATCATGATGCTTTTAGTCAACCATAATTTTAACTTATTGCACTTTTTTAATAGGAAGACAAACAATGACATTTTAAACCTGCGCGTTTAGAAATGTAGAACTGCATATCAAAGACTTGGAATTACACAATACGTGATGAACTGCACACTGATAGAAACTAGGACGATATCAAAATGCTATCTCAAATTGAATGGTGCAGGCTCTATGAAAATGTCTGAATACATTGTGTTGCAAAGTTCGAACTGCTGACTGTAATAAATGCTATTTTCATACACACGTACTCAAGTAACATAGGTGACGATACTAGCACTTTGGATCAGTTTAACGTTAAAACTTAAAAGTAAGCATATAAGATGCGTCGATTCCTAGTGAGGTGGGGCAGCTATTAACAGACATTCTTTTGGTGTAAAACACCATATTCGAAAATTAAGGAAGGTAAATTAAAATAAAGTTATATGGCAAGACTGACAGTCATGCTTTTTATGGTTAATAACTTAGAAAGTACAGTCAACAAATCGGTATACGTAATTCCGAATTCTTAGTTTTTAGTTATATATTTGAAAACTTTTGACGATCTTATAATGAACATTATAAGATAAAGATTGCTTTAATAAGATTTAGGTTTATGGATTAGTACAGTGCACAAACAATGGATGAATGTAATTCATAATATTATAAATATTACAGCACCAAACAACTTCTATTAGATACTGTCAATCACCCTCCTCAGCTCATTTCTATAAAAAATGAAGTATTTAATAACCCGTGTGAAATATGAAATCTGGTCACCACAAATAGCAAGGGGTAATCTGGCACAATGCTTGAAATCAGAGAACTGATAATGTCCTGAGGCATGCTCGATCGCTCATCTGAAAGAGCTATTTACAGAGCAGTTTTAGTGTTTGAAGTTACTTGATGAGGTAAGACACATCTCCCAAGAGCATCCTCTTCATGCTCGATGGGACTGGCGTGTCCATACGAGCAAGTTACTCCACTTCCAGTAATTTGATTCATATTCAAGGAAAGTGTCGACCAATTTAGCATAGTGTTGAATTGATCATCCAAAAGGCTGATTCCAGAGCCAAATGTACCATCATATAGCAGCATAAAGGGTCGTAGGAAGTGACACCTACAAGGTATAGCATTAAAGGCATTATTCTGTAGGAAATAGAGGTCAGTACGTTCAGCAATGCGTATGCGTGCCTACATTATAGCTCCACCATAGCATACAAATCACGTGCCTGTATGAATATGATGTTGTATGTAGTTTGAGGTTACTTCTAATTAGTATATACCTATTATATAGCAACTCGTCTAAAAAATAATATTGTTTCATATGTCTTGGTCCACATGATGTGTTCTTAGAAAACCGTTGCAGATCAGTCATTTTGCTCCTTGCTATGAATGAAATATTAAACAGATTGGCCTTGCGAAATCTCTTCCTAACGTCCGAACATTGACAAGGCATATAGTTGTGGCTGCACACATCTGTTTCAGTCTTGAAACAGGTACCTTCAATACGATGAACCATTATCAAAAGATGGTGACCATCTTTTTTGTATCATGAATGATGGTTTGCCTTGTCCAGGTTTTCAAGCAACTTTATCACTGTTTTGGAAATTGCTCCACATTTTGCTAAGACACTTCGAGACTTTTGCAGCCAATTTGTTGGAGCCTATAATCATTCACCAGCTTTCATTAATTCGAAGACTTTCCACATTTAAAGATTTTATTTGAGGTTTAATATTGGTTGATTAACGATTTGAAGCTCTTTAAACTCTGCTATGCATTTCCAACTAATAACTAACATATATGTATAGTTTAAACTAAATGACCACCCATTTGCACGTCAGATAACCCGACTGATCATAAAATGGTTTATTTACATAAATAAGAATCGAGAAGGATGATAGATATTATTTTATAATAATGTTTTTGTTTTGTCATAGCTAAAACATTATAACTTCTAATTATTATTTAACTGCTTAGTGGTTTAAGGAACTGGAGCATCGAAAGAATACAAGCATTAACAAAATACATAAATATTTTTACATAAAAGTTAATATATATATGAAACCTACCTTTACTAAGAAATCCATGCTGGATCAAACGGGCCTGGATTAACAACCTGGGCAATAACAAACAGAACGCTACACATATGTGAAGGAAAGGTGCTGTTGGTCCGCCGTGTTTCCAAAATATCTTAAACCATCTTCTGAGTTTATTACCATGCAAATTTTCATATGTAGTCTTATCGCTATTGTCATTCCTACCCCATTTTCCTCCATCGTTAGCGAAATTTCCTACTTTAACCATACAAGCAGCGACATAGAATGGTAACAGGATCAGCGCTGCCCCGATAAGAGCAACATAAGCATTCAACTCCACAAACGGCTGGTCATCCACTGGCCACGGCAGAGCTATGTATTTGGTAAACCTCTGAATACTGTTGACAACAATGTAAACTTGAAAAGCGAATGTTATGATGGAGTACCATATTGAAAATAAACTGTTGAAATGTGGCCTACGGCATGTCAAAGAGAATGAATTCTGGTGTCTTCTATTACTATTGCTGAGGTAATGCATTATAACAGTTACAAAATTAACTAACTAGGATATCTTAACGGTTTCCTCCAGTTCCGTCACAAAAAAATCAATATCCAATGATTAATTGTAAACCACCATATTCTAAATGATGAGTTAGTTGTACGTTTTCCTCCTTGGTTACCACCAACATGAATGTAACTTCAGGACATCATCAAGAAATTGCCTTACGTTTATCAGCACTTAGCCTTGTCAGTTAAGACTTGGAAGAACTTTCACGAAGTCCTGCATATAAAAGAAAACTTGATATTTATATATTATCTAAAAAAAATATGCATTATCTTTTCCTTTTTTCATTTCTCGTGTTTATCTGGTTATTTTATAACATTCTCTACACCCGTCTCTTTAGTAATAAATGTTGCAACGTTAAAAATTAGTTGTAAAGAATCACATCTAAACAATTCTGGTGTTAAAGACATATTTATACATGTAAAGGAAACGATTCAACAACAAGTTTCCCTTTGTCAACAAAAAATGGACTTATGACATTTCCAGCTATTTGTAAACGCAGAAGTTCATCACTTACAAGTTTTAAAGGTTTGGGTTTCGTATTTTTCTGTCCAGATGTTGAATGTTAACATTACTTCCACTGTTAAAACAAATATTTAGTCCTACTGCGCATATACACGTGTATGTACATAAAGTACTATTTCGTTGAGTTTGTTACTGGGTTTTCAATCAGCAGCAGTACAGCTGTCAACACTTGGTCTTATATCACCGGGGTCTACCGCATTTCACATACATGTACAAATAATGATAAAAATAAGAAATCTTAGGCAAATGAAAATGTCTGTAGGGACTCAATGTGAGCATCGAAACCTCGAACACGTGTTATTCATTAAGAGAACTACCTAATCGTGTGAGCTACAACGACTGAACCAGATGATATTGTAATATTGTACTGGAATCTGACAATGAAATACATAGTCATAAGTCATAGTAATTGCAGTATACCTAGCTGTGTTTGCTGTAGGCTTCGGTGCTTGAATGATTTCGAAGAGAAACTTGGCCAGTAGTGATGAAAAAAAACTGATAAAATCTCTCCTTCTCTTTCAACAATCAACATAAAAGTAGTCCTATGACCTGCGCAGGAGTTCTTTTAGTAGGTTTGCCCAGATTTGAATAAAATATTCATAACCGTTTTTTTTTCTGTAGGCTTGTGAAACAAGAATAACATGATTAATAATAATAATATGAAGAACAAATGGATGAATTTTGAATTTTATCTAACAATCGGAAAATAAACTTTTTTGCTATTATCAATATTTTAGCAGCCTTACCCATTGAGATGGGAGGTCTTGAGTATGGTGTCTCAAGAACAAGACTGCTTTTTAAGATGATTTTTGCCTGTATGTTCTACTAGAATTCTTGTGAAATTCCTGGGCGAACCCTGTTATGAACCACTATCGTTCATGATAAAAACACGATATAAACGCTGCTTTACTAAAAGAAATTTAAAATGTTGCGTCGTGTCAACTTAATTCATTTCAATATAAAAGTTATATAAAAAAAGAAATATTTTCATCACTGTTCAATATGTGATTAAAATTCTACAAACGACAAATCCAGTGCTCTATACCTGCAACATTGGCCAACTTATAACCAAAGTTCTAATCAAATGATAGGAATATCACCAATTTTCTAACCATAGTTCTTGATAACACATCTTATATAACATAAATATTGTTTATTCTGAACGTCAAGAACACTAAAGTTCATTGAACCTTTAAATATCGATTTGGGAAAATGATCACACCTTGGTCTATTATATTACAGAACACGGCATACAACATCCCAAATGGGATATATAAAACACTCACAATAAGTGAACGAATGGAATAACATTTTGTATTTGTATCTGTAAGAAATAAAGTGGTGACAGATAATTCCAGAAAGTATCGCTATCTTGAAGCCAAAAACGTGATTGTGTCACAACTACTATATACCATCTTTTCATTACAAGAAAATAACGTTTCATTATTAAACTAATTTTCAAAAATGTTTGCAAGTGTTCTAAATTCACTAAGTTTATGTGGTCATCAATAGGGTGTGATAAGTCGTAAACTTGCACTAATTATCTATTTTATAAAAAGTTACATAACACAATGGTCACTCTGTGATTACTTATTCTTCCAAGACAGTTTTTGTATCGCAGCTCACCTGGGATGCGGGTTGCACTCAAGGTGAGTGATGGTACAGACATTTGTTTGGGTTAGCATAAGCTAGAAATTGACCTTTCTTAGATGTATATTAGGAATGACTGTTTACGTAGGTAACCTAGGATTGTGGAATATCGCACTGGGTACCTTCGTTCTAACTTAACAGTGCAATACATCAGGATTCTACCTCCAGTTTTCATCTAGTGAAAGCTGTTAAAAGTTACGTAACAAACTCAAGCCAGCGTGAATAGCGACATCCCAGCACATCATATCTTTGAATAAAAATTATATTTTTTATTTGTACATATTTCACTCTTGGCTCTTTTTGTTCGATTGTTTATTCATTTAACATGTCTTAAATATGCTGCTTACCACAGATTACCTATTACCTTGTCGAGAATCTGTGTACTTAAATAAATACCAGTTATATATATTTCACTTTTTATTATAAGCGATTTCCTTCTATTAGCTGCAAGAGTATTATTCTCCAATCACCTCATTCTAATAGAGAAAATATTTCTTTCTTGTCAACTGCTAGAATATTTTGCTCACACATGAAAAATATCCGGTACATGAAAATAATGCAAATCAAAATATCAATTTCAACTTGAAAATAATATACGTACATGTGTGCTGACCAAACCAATAATTAATAGAACATAAGTTTGCTCATACGCGGTCTTTCAAATAATTATAAATTGAGAACAGCACTGAAAAGGCTGAAGTAATCTATGTTGTTTAGAAGGCCTATATAACGTATGTAAATTTGATGAGTATTTACTGAAAACTAATTAGGTCTCCTAGGCAGTTTTCTTCCATAACAACAAATGCTCTTCTTCAAGACCAACGATGTTAAGTTTACATACTATAGTCAGTGGAAAGTATTATCATATTTTTTTGTAGTTATGTCCGGAAAAACATCCTGATAACTTATGGGATCCATGGAAAAATACTAGTAACCCACAACTTCCTGTTTCATAGTACGTTTGACAACACAAAGTATAATCAGGTGAGTCTGGTGATAAATTGGTTCTTTTTATTTCGCGATCATGAGATTTATAAGAGCATATTAAATAAATTCAAAGTGTCCTATCTAATATAGTGCCTAACAATCATTCCTCTGTTCTAAGAGGCTGGCTGGTTATTCAGTGAATTTTAACTACTCATCGCTATATGATTTTATTTCACTATCTGCTCCGTCCGACATTTGTAACTCCATAAAGTTATCGCTGTCCCACCAGGGCACGCTAAGAAAAAGAAACAAAAATACTACAAGATTATAAAAAAAACTCTCACAGCCGGTGGGATTTATAGTGGGCTTAACTTGCTCGTCGCTTGACATTTCACTCAATCACGTGAAGTTCTTTGTATGAAAAAAAAGGAGTATGTAATACGTTGATGTCTATATATATAAATGGTTTTTGATTGAAGTTTCAAGTCCAATAATAGTGCGTGTGTGTGTGTGTAAACCAAGGGACTTCCAAAAGCGGATCAGATGAAGAACATATTATCCCCAATTATTGTAATAAAAAGTAATAATATTTTATATATTCCAAGTATGTTACAAAAAATTAAAGCTACTGAAAAGGAACCGGTTTTGTAATCTAAGAGTCAGCCCTCAGACTGTATCAACAACTTCTTCGAAACTCTTATAACATTAATGCCTTGAAAACATAAATGTGTGTAATCCACGTCGAAGCAGAGATGAAATTCTAAGCTTTTCGCTAATAATACATATAGAAAATTGTTGATATGATCAGTGACGTAACTACAAAAGATGTCCCCCCCCCCCCGCATAAAAAGTAATTGGGCCACTACATTTATTACACTTGTTGATAATTCTTACTTTTGTCAGGCACTTGGACTCTCTTTTGGAGGGCTCCCCCCGCAATTGCAGGGGCATTCATAAGCCACTGGAGATGATGTCACTGCGTGTAAACAAGTCGACTATTTGCTAAGACAGAATGTACCAACTGAAGCCACAGTCTGCCATGTTCTGTCTGACGATCGTACATCTTGGAAATAATCTGCAGCATAGTATCCAATGAAAGAGGCTCCGTCGTAAGGCTGTCATATCCAAAGCACACCAGTCCTCTCTGCTTGCTTTCCATAATTTACCTGTTATCGAGGAAGACGGTTTCTCAATGCCCATTTCAACAATCCAGACGTACAGAAATTCATGAATGCTGCGTACAGCGACTTGACTAGTAAGTCTTCGTACGTAATAGCATGGATACACGCTCCATTCTCCAGCTACTTGTGGTATGCAACAGTTGAATGTTTTACATCTTCAATGCTTTTAAGCTACGATTTGAATGCTTAAAACTAGCGAAACATTGGACACCAGGAAACCTAATATTCACGATTTACAATAAAACTAACAAGAACATTGTAAATAAAAAAATATTATGATGAATGTGATAAAATGTGCAGTCTCACGGGACTTTTATCACGAATATTAGCCTCAATTCTTTGTTGGTGTTATATAATAATTATTATGTATACGTACTCTCTGATATCATGATCCATGGATCCTCTTATCGTTAATTAAATAGGTAAAGTAATATCTTGATTTTTTTAAAGACCCCGTAAATCTACAAGATATGAAATTTTGTTGGATTTTAAATTAAACATTGCGATATACTGATTTTATTTTTTGTATTATTTAACAGGATGTCATTATTGTTTTGTTTTTTCGGTACTAGTAATTACAAACACCAGTGAGGAAAACAACGAGTACCATCTGTTAGTTATTCTGTATCAGAGAGAAATATGAAGCGTTCTTCATCCAACTTGATGCATAGGCTCTGCCTCCTATAGTAC